ATCAAGGACCACATGACAGGCAGCCAGGGGCAGATAAATATTAATTGTCAAAATTTTTTAGGGGCCCCATGGGCCCAATAGAATGGCCTGGCAGGCCACATCCAGCCCACAGCCTGCATTTTGCCCACCCCTGGGTTAGTAGTTTCATAAAAGTCAATAGGATTCTGCATTTGCAAAGTAGTATGCTACCATACAAAGTATCAATCATTCAGACTCAAATGATTAAATATCACTTGGTCAAAAGGCAGTTTCCAGTGGAGCAGGAAGTATAGCAAGAGATATAGAATAGGTGACTGCAAATCATGCTGCCTCATAAACTGAGTTTATCATGGCAGACTGTGTAGGAGATTAAATATAATTTCTTGAGATTCAGATATCATAAGTTTATCGGTGGGTATTCAGTTTTGGCTTTCAGATTTTATTTCAGAGATATTTCTTCAAATATTTTTCTTTACCTCCTCTTTTCCCCCCTATGAAAGAGATTTACAGTGAATCACAATGATTCACAATGTGAGCAGCCGTCAAAACGTTTGCTTGCTTTCCAGTGGTGGACACAGGGGCAAAAACAATCTTGCCCTACATATGTTTGTTTATATTTCCTGAACTGGACTGGAAGTGATATTGAAAACTTCTCCCCTTCTTTTTCTGACCTCTATTCCCTAATCTTCCTGCTGGCAGTTGAGAAGATTGCAAATAATTCATGCTATTAGCTGTTAAGATACTTTATAAAGAAAATTGCCTCTCTTTAGCAATTAAAATATTTACCCACACAACAATATACATAAGACAGCCTGCACCAAAATTGAAGTCTCTGTAAATATTAAAAATTGTTTCCAACAACAACTAAAGGCATTATCAAGTAATAATATATGATGGGTTTTTTTAATTAATCCCTTCAGTCTATGAACAAAAAATCTCTTTATGCTATCCTCTTGGCTTTTTTGCTTTTGAAAGAGGGGAATTCTCTGTCCCTCTGTCTCTTTCTCACTCACTCATGCGCACACCCACGCACCACATGTGACCATGCACATCTTCCTCTCCTCCCCATAATATTAGAGTAACCATAAATAAAAAATATTAACTAGTATTGTCCCCAACAGGTGATTCCCATAAGAGCAATAAGAATAATCACAAAGTAGAAATACCTGTCACTCCGACAATTAATTATAAAAATGGCCCTTCTGTCTATACTCCACACAGTCAATTAAAATTCAGTATATAGTAAAATATATATGATGCGTATATATTCAATATGACACAAGAAGTGCAAAATACCCCAAGGTATAAAATAATGATCACTAATGAGAACAATATTTATTAAAGAGATTGCAAAAAATAATATGTATGACAGAAAAGTATATATAAAGGTTTCAAAACATCAGTTAGAATGCTTATAGTAAATACATGCACACCCCCCCCCCCAAGAGCTATCCTAAAGAAATGGCTCTTGATATTAAGTAGGCTAAACAGAAATGTGCAAAGGAAGGAAGAAGATACAAAAATGTCCTAGCAATTAAAGGGGAAAGGCAGCAGGCAGAGATCCCATTGAGCAGTCAGAAGCATGAAAAAGTTATGCAGTCCAATTTTCTGGTGACACTTCCAATGGGAAAGGTTTGAGAGGCAATTCTCATGCATCATTGTAACTGTTGTTTTTGGTTGTCACAAACAGTTTTCAGATTTCATGTGGTAACTATAGTTACACTTCCCCCAAATATATTGTATAGGAGTCTGAGCAGGTAGCAGGGGAGGTATACTTCCTTAGGGGTCCAACAGAAGTTGTTAGTAGATCCTAAATTGTTTGAGTATGTAAACACAGTCTAACTTGAGTAGACTGATATGTAGTTTTGTGAATAGAGTCAGGCTTTCCCTGGTAAAATGGAAGAGGAAACCAGTAGAATAATACCCACACATCTGTAAATTAATTCAGCCAAGTGTGCTTTAAACGAGAAACCCCCTCCCACATACACATTTTTATGCAGAGCTGTCCCATCCCTCTTTCAGCACATTCCACCTCCTTCCATTTGGGAAGCAGAAATGCAGTAGAATTTATTCTTTACAAGATTTATGTATTCCGTCCACATACAAATGAGGTTACAAAGATGTTTAGAAAACTGTGGAATCAACTCATTAAAAAAATCCCCTTGTGTGTATATTTTGGAAGGAGTTGAGAAGCTTGCATAGTGCTTTGCAATCCTGTATCTCATGAATGCATGTGA